TCCCCTTTGTTTACGTTATTATATATATATATATATATTTTTATATATGACTATTATTGTCCAACTTAATTAAAAGTAAATTTCTGACTTTATTGGAATTCTTTTAATCACATGGCGTCATAGAGGATGCCGTTAATCAAGCCAAAGCTCTCAATCAAATACAACTTTCCTACGTGAATATTTTTTAAGTTGCGATATCTACTTTTAAGCGTTTTGGTTCCCCCAACTTCGAGTAAATATTTTGTACGCAAGTTCAAATTAAAAATATGATCATCATACTTATATATTTATTTATTAATTATAATTTAAGTGAATGTTTATATATATACACACACAAACCAAAGAAAAAGAGAGCCACTACTAGAATAGAATAGGACTTTATTTTATCTTTTCTTCTAATGCTTACCTATCAGTCTTTTTGGCAACACTAGTTCTATTATTTTCTTGTCAACGTCAATAGTTAGCTACAAAGGACAACTTCGCTCACAAATTTCTCACAAGTTGAAATTATCTACGTGTGTGTGTATATATATATATATACACACTATTTTTAGTCATTAATATAAAACCTCATTTAATTTTTATTTTAGTCCTAAATATAAGATCCTAATCTATTTTGTCTCTTATATATATATTTTTAAGATAGTCATTTTAATAATAGTAGTTATAGCAAAGATATTTTAAAAAATACAACATCTATTTATAACAAATAACTAACTTAAGTAATTTTTTTAATATATTCAAATTAGTAAACTAACTATTATATTTAGGATATATTACCAGAAGTCCGAAAAATGAATCAAATCAAAACTCGGTTAATGACTATAGCTCCCTATTTTAACGAGGGGGTGAAAGCCTTTTTCATGACAGCAACGCCCATATTATTTCTTCAAAATATAAGAGATAGTGACATCAAGGGCTAAATTAATTTAGTTAGGACGATAGGATACCAAAATTTACGGCAAAAGTGTATAATTAATTGCCCGCCACATTAAACACTAAGATTTACTAGAATATGAAAATAAAATGTAAAGCTCTCTTAACTGGTGGATCTACTCTGCAAGATTTACTCACTTACTTAATATTAAAAAAGTTCCATTTCTTTAATAACTTGGATCCAAAAAACACAGTTTTTTGTTTTTGGAGGAAAAAAGGGCTGGGGCTGTGGAGCAGAAACGATATAATTGAAGGTTGATTACGTACACTGTTTTCCATTTGAAAGCAAAGGGCACATTGATTAAAAAAAAGGACAGCAGAGATATGAAGTGTGATGATTAAGACAGACTTATTAGGCAGATAAAGATTCAAGCTTATCCCTTTTGTGGAAGTGAACCTTCCTGACTTAATTAATTAATTAATTAATCAATAATTAAGGTATCAAATTAAAGGAAAGAAATAAGGGTAATCTGGGCGCTGGCATTGGAGAATATATTATTTGAACACTTAATTAGCTTTTTCAATGAGTGGCCCTTTCTTGTCTGCATGGTGGGAAGCACTTGATGACTCACCATGCAATCACCAACACCCACATACTCTTACCTACCGTCTATAATTTACCCACAAGAATAGCGAGACATGATAAGAATTAATTAATAGATGTTGGAGTTTAGTATAGCTCAGAGCAATATTAAAACTCACTTAAATTTTATACGTGATAAATTTGATACTTTTAATTAATTGTTTTTATCATATGTATGAATTAGTCAGCAGTAAATTATATATTTAGCTTGAATGGAATATAAGTTTGATTTTGATGTTTTGTTTGGTTCAGCTTGTTAAGTGCGCCTTGATGTTTCAATGATAATTCCTCTTTATATTAATTAATCTTAGACATAAGATTAACGATCATGGTTTAAACATTTGAAAAGCAATACTCCATCCGGTTCAAAATATAAACTAAGCTTTATCCATTTATGTTTATCAAGAAACTAGTTAAAATCAGTTTAAAATAATAAATATATAAGGCATATTTTTTTTAATTATGTCTTTATTAAGAAGAGAATAAGTAAAAGATGCAATAAATGAATCAAAAACGAAAGAGAATAAATAAGGGTAAAATTAGAGAAAAAAAACTCATTAAATGCTTAGACAAAAGTACATGTTATCTTATTAAAAAAAAAAAAAAACCAAACTCATCCAACAAAGTTTATCTTATATTTTGAACAGAAGGCAGTAATATGAACGCATCAGTGCATAATTGATTGTTTTAGCCTCTGCCATTCTCGTATCATTAAGTAAATCATGACAAATGATGAGAAATTTGATTAACGTTGTTAAAATGGATTTTTTAAAAAAAATAAAAGAATTAGACGATGAACACATGAATTGATTATAAATTGAGTAGTGTTGCTCTCGATATAGACTGAAGGAGAGAGGGGTGGGGCAATCATATCAATGCGTATATGAACTTTTGAATTTGGAGGCAAAGAAAATTTGGACCAATCATCCAACTAACCCATTCTTATTAATAATCATGAATCTTTGATTGGACACCAAACTTGCACGCTACTTCTGAGCATTGGACAAACACTACTATTATTGAGTTTGAATTTGAAATTTCCAGCTCTATTGTCCTACAAAAATTATTCATTTACAAAAACAAACTCGTTTATTTGTGGAGAAATTGCCTGCCGTCATGGTTAAAACATTAACTTGTTGCCAGAATCACGAAGCCAGCTTACCTTAAAAAGTACGTAAAAATATTTAATTAACATGTGTGTGTGTTTGTATTGTATGCACTCGAGGAAACTCAACCAAAAAAGGGGCAGAAAAGAGGGACATCATATATTTGCATATATATGCGTGTGTGCACAACACACAAAACAAGAAGACGACAAAAGGGCATCGATCTTCGCTTCAATGGTTCAACATTGGAGTCATCAAATGCTGATCCACAAACGAAGTTTGTAAAAACAGACTTGCCTTAGATGTTATAACACTCCAAATCCAATTATCCCATTATCCCACCGAACAGTTCACGTTCATGATTATTAATAACGAAAAATTAATGAATAAGTATTTAATTCTTTTGTTGTAAAAAAGGCCAAGATACGAATACAGGTATTAAAAAAAATTTTAAATCTACGGCAACAATAAAAATGGCTCCGGATTTTCAGTGTTATCATTAAATTTTATTTTATTTAAAAATATAACACCATTTGTTCAAGTGGACATAAGTCAAGATAAGGAGAAAACACTGAGCCTATCACCTCACATGGCAAACAAGGACTTCATATATCATTTTCTCTCACATTTTCTTGTTGCCGAATAGCCTTTTCTTTCCACTGCAGATAACATGTTGTGCTATATGTTTTTATTTATTTTTGTTCCCCCCCCCCCCCCCGCCCCCTTTTCGCCCTCTTTCCACTCACATAAACAAGTGGCAGCATTTTTTTTTTTTACCGAAAAAGGTTAACGGAATAGTTACATTGCTTGACATTAAGATTATACATGCATGTATGTGGCAAAAAAAATTTCTTTTATTCTCTCTATGAATGTTTTATTGAGATTTATATTCTTAATAAAACTTAAATATTTAAAAATAAATATAATACTTACTGCACATTATATGACAAACCAAATATATCTAAGGCCATAAAAAGAAGACCAACACAAACAAGTTAAAATAAACAAGATACTCCATAGTTAACTAAAACTGGCAAAAATGATAGCTATGGGGAAAATGTGGGATTAGAGGTGGAAATAGGCCAAACGACTTGTCAAGAGTCCGTCCTGTAAATGGCATGGCCTATTTAAATATAAGAGCAAGCTCAAGCCTATTAAAGGGCTTGTTTACCTTATCAGACCAGGTTCAGACTTGATAATAAGCCTATTAGGTCTGCCAAGCGGCCTGGGCCTGTTATTATTTTTTTGGGTTAAAATTGTAAATTTACAAGTGCTGAAATTTAACCTAAGTCTATGAAGCTATTCTCATTCGGCTATTCCTCTTCCTAATTATATCTTTTATTTTTGTATTTTAGATAATTTGAGTCGAGTTATTGTTATTTTCAATTGATTTATATATGTTTAAAATTTGTTAAAAATATAGGCTTCTCAGTAGGCTACAGGCCAAGCCTAGGCTGAATAAAAAGTTTTTTACAGGCCGCAAGTCAGGTTCAAGCCAACAAGCGTTACCACAAATCTAGCCTATTATTCAAAGTAAGGACTGGTCTATTTACACCCCAATATCCCCAATATGAGACGAGGATATCCTAATATTACAAAAAGGAAAAAAAAAAAAGATAAGTCTATTAAAAGCTGAACACTTTTTTTTTTTTGGGGTTTAACTGAAAAAGAGAGTGGGTATAGTTCTCCAAGGTGAGTGGAGTGTAGGCATGCGAGTGGGCAACCGAGGAGATGAATGAAAATAAGAACAGAGTGACACAATACTCCAATTTAATAGTGATCATTGGAAGTGGTGTTCTGTTGTGTTGTGTTTTGTGAGCAAGCCCTCTGCTCTGCTCTTTTCTCTTGTTTTGTTTAGGTCGCAGAGGGGGCCCACCATTTCCTCCTTCATAGCTCATACTTCTCACTCATGGCCTCCTCTGTTTCTTAATGCTGAGCGACCACCATCGTCCATCCCCATTACTTCAAAATCTCTCCTTTTTTCGTCCTGTTTTTATAATTATACCCTCTAATCTCATCTTCTTTGAATGGTAAGAAGTATCGCTGCCGTCCTATCACAATCCACCACGTGGCCTCATACTCTGGTGTTGCAATTATGGGATGCATGAGATTTAAGAAATTGAAGGCGGAATGTGGTGGCAAAGCATCGGGCTTAATTACTATGTCCGTACAGTGTTGGTGTGCAGTGAAGAAAGAGAGAGTGTGAAAGGTGAAAGATGAAGAGGCCGTTAAAGTTGCTTTCACATCGCACTGGTCAAAACCCACTGACTACTCCTCCGTAACAAAGGTCGCACTACCCATGAATTCACCAGAGATAAACACTGTCCCCTCCGTAAATTTAAGTATAGAGAGAGAGAAGTTAAAATTCTAGTCATGTTGAAATAAAAAGAGGGAATGATGCAATTTTTGAACTTAGTCCCAAAAGAAATACTTGCCATGGGGGCACATTGGGATTTTAATATTTAATAATGGTTTGTCTGTCCCTCAATCTTTGCCAAAAACGGTGAAAAACTCATGAAAGCTTAGGACTTTTCAGGTCGCCTTCTTCTATCAAAGAGGACCCAGCTATAATTATTTTTATTATTATTTTCTCCCTTACCCTGCTTTGCTCATGGATCCCAAGGGCTCAAAGAAGCCGGATGAGGCATCCAACAAGAAGTTCTTGAGTCTCCCACGGCCACAATCCAACATGGGGGAGAACAATAAAGGAGCAGCCGAAGTGAGGGATTTCCAGATTTCGATCGCAGAAAAAGAAGAAAACAGCAAGAACAAGCAGTTGGCCCCAAAGAGAGCTTCCAACAAAGATAGACACACCAAGGTGGAAGGCAGAGGAAGAAGAATAAGGATGCCTGCTCTATGTGCGGCCAGAATCTTTCAGTTGACCAGAGAATTGGGTCACAAATCTGATGGAGAAACCATACAGTGGCTCCTCCAGCAGGCGGAGCCGTCCATAATCGCGGCCACTGGAACCGGGACAATACCGGCATCTGCTTTAGCCGCAGCAGGAGGCTCTGTTTCACAAGAGGGGACCTCTCTATCTGCAGGATTACACCAAAAAATGGATGAATTAGGGGGGTCCAATATAGGGCCAGGAAGTAGGACCAGCTGGGCAATGGTTGGTGGGAATTTGGGGAGACCCCATGTGACCACAGGTCTATGGCCTTCTTCTGTCAGTGGATTTGGGTTTCAGTCATCATCATCTTCTGGTCCATCTGCACCAAGCTTAGCAACTGAGAGTTCAAACTACCTCCAAAAGATTGGGTTCCCTGGCTTTGACTTGCCTGCAGCAGCAGCCACTAACATGGGTCCTATGAGTTTTGCCTCAATTTTGGGTGGGACTAGTAACCAGCAGATTCCTGGTTTGGAGCTGGGGCTGTCTCAAGATGGTCATATAGGGATTTTGAACCCACAAGCCTTGAGCCAGATTTACCAGCAGATGGGTCAAGCTAGAGTACACCTACAACAGCATCAGCAGCAGCAGCAGCATCATCCTCCTCCTTCTAAGGATGACTCTCAAGGTTCTGCAGGGCAATAGATTTTTCTGAATTGAGTTTGGGTAAAAAATGTAGCATTGTCCAGAGGCAGAGGTTTCAACGATGGCTTCTGTGTTGTTGTATATATGGAAGACGTCAGGACATAGATGCCTCAGATTCAGAGCTTTCAATAGGACCTGGATTTTGTTTCACCCTTCTTTTTTCTGCACTGCAGTGCTCAAGTCTCCTGGAACAGGTGCTTCACTTCGAGTTCAAAGTTTCTACTATTTACTCTTTTGGTATATTCACGTGTGTTATAATATTGTTGTTTATGATGTTAACTTGCTTGCAGATGGAATTGCGCTGCCAGCTAGCTTGGTTTTGGGCTTAAAACTCTTGTTTAATTCAGAGAGGTTTTTTAAGTATCACTATGTGAAGCAATCAATTATTTTGTTCTTCTCGAGTTCAAGGGGTGCTGATCTTTTTGTGAGATTGATGCTATAGATTTCATAATCATATTTTCCAAAATTTGTGATGGAATTCTTGCTGTAGTTCCTTAATCGTCTGAAAGATTCTAATCAATGCATGGAACAACACTTGCAAGTTACATCCGGCTGCCTGGCACCCTTGATTAACTTGCAACAGCCTGGATGCTTTACTTCCATGTTCATCACCTGAAATCTTTCCTTTTGTTAAATTAGTAAACTGTTTTTATTCCCTTTACAATGCTACTGTTAAGAAGCTAAAATATTGAAAAGGGTATCAGTGCCTAGCATTTACAGCTCTGCTTCTTTGAAAAGGGTATTTGTATTCAAGCGTTTCTCATTCTTTACTCTCTGGAAAAGTCTTGTGATGTACTTATTGACATGACTAAATTAATATTGTTAAGTCGCCTGCTAGCATCAATAAAATGCCTGAAGCCAGGGTATTGTAGCAGAGGTGGAGGTAAACTGAGAAGTCCACCACATACACCAAAGTACTTTGCTTTATTCTTTCTTGCTTTGTAGCAGGGAGAAAGACCCAAAGAAGTGAGACAAGTGAACTTTCTAAAACTGCTCACTTTGACTCCCGTGAACTGTTTTGAGCTTGAGCATCAGCAAATTCTCCCAGTTTAACCCGATGCTCCTGAAGCTAAAATCCTTGTAATAGTGAAAAAGGTAATTCCTGTGTCTCATGTTTACTAAAATAACACTTCCTAGTTATATTCAGCAGTTAGTTCCCATGTTGAACTGATTGCATGTAAGTGATTATCTTGGGGAACATGAAACAAACTTGTAGAGAAGAGAGAAATTGCTAAAATACAAGACTTTCTGTGTTTGGACTTCGCAACTCCATCTATGAAGCCCTTATTGTGAGTTCCCATGAGATTAAACCGGTCAACTTTAAATTGTGAGTCCTCTGACTGCTTTGGTGCTATATTTAACGCACTTTTACAGCAGCACCTATACAGAAAAGAGATAAAATTCGAGTAGTGGATGTATCACATGCTTGATCCGAAGCCATTATCTGCATAATTAATTACATGATAATGAGACTTATCTGTAGCAATATATGCGCAGCTTCATGTCTTATCTAGATTCGTGACAGCACATGAAAGGGATTAAATTCCATTTATTCAACCAAGTCCATCATTTGTTTTCTTGTGCTTTCACATAAAATTAGTGTGAAAGGCGACGCATTTTCTTCGTTGATTTTGTCAAGCAACCAATCACTGCCATGATTTCTTCAGCACCCACCAACTCAGGCTATCATTACGGACAGCCTCTTTAATTGAATAAAAATTGCATGCACATATAAAATCACCCGATTTCGATTGACCCACCTAATGGAAAAGCACCAGAGAGAGAGAAAAATTGGGAAATCAGGTTGTAATCTAGAAGCACTGACTTTTTGTACAAGAATTTCACTAATGAGTTTGAAAGTGTCATTTGACATGCCGAGATATGCGTTCCTCTGGGCTCCTTTCAGAAACTTTTGGTTTGGTCAAGACTTTCAGAACTAAAGTGGCACCACCAGCCAAACGCACATGGGTTAGTGGTATCGTGAAGTTTGAATTGTAATTTGAGAATGGTTACGAATCTGATATGAGGAGTCTGTGAAAAGTCACGACAAGATCAATGCCATTATAGACGACAGCGCAAAAGGGTACTCGGGGAGCTTATTTGCAAATTGCAATATTTAGCTCCGACTCAACATGTTTGCCAAATCTCAACCTGAAGCTTTGATGTGTGGTTATTTATTTATTTGAGCGTGCTGTCCTTTCCAGTTGATTTTCTTCTCCACGAACGAATCAAATTTGAGGTCTCATTTTAATATTGCGGTGGTTTCTTACCCTCGATGACCACAATTACTTTCTTATACTTCCTCTGATGCACACCCTGCACTGCATGTGCCTCTTCTTCAACTATTTTTCACATTTAACTTATCTTTTGTCCATTTGTATTCAATTTCACTGAATAACATATGCGTTTCGCTGTGAATCAGCAGAGTTTCATCAGACATCTGTTTTGACAGTGGCCCAGAATTTTACAAAGGTATCGCAAATGGTATTTGATTTCATTTATTTTGAGATCGCTATCTTTATCCTTTATTTCAATTAAAACAAAAGCATTCCATTCTGGAGCGGGAAAAGAACTTTACCAGATTCTCTAATCCATTTAACCATCGTTGTGGGGTAAAAACATGGGAAAGATAGCTTTAAGAATAAGGAAATAGAGCACTAGCTAGTGACCATTTTTATCATTAGAGTCTTGTTCCTTTTTTAGCCCATGTGTAATTTTCAAATGATTACACTTCCAAGAGCAATTATGTTGCTTTTTTTTTTTTTTAAAACCAAGTGAATGATTATATTTAAACACATCTTTTTCACAAGTTAACAATGCACGACATGATACGCTCATAAAAGTATAAATGTCAGGAAAAAACGAAGATTTTTGCTTCAACTCATGATGATCATTTGACACGCTTAAAAAGCAAAAACTAGGTAACAATATGAGAAAGGAAAAAGGAAAAGAAATCCCTAGTATTGTTACCTTTGAACCGAGTAGACGTTTAAATAATACCAATTGCTGCTCATGGTTGAGGTAGGAGGAACGAGTCATGACTCATGCTGCTGGCAACGAAAACCAACCTCTTCTCGATCTCTCCGTCTGACACTGTATATGCATACCCTGAAACGGTCCAACAATTTCCCATGAAGCGTGTCTTACACTTTACAGACTAAGCTTTATTTATTCATTCTATCAAATATTATCAACTCATGGAATACTTTATTGGGATTAGAACAGTGGATGGAAACAACTGAACACCTCACCCAGTATTTATTTTTCCATTTGGGCCGGTCATTACTGAAATCTAGTTTGGGAAAGACTTGGACTCGAACCCAAATGAGCCCTCAATACTGAAATGCCCGATACGATCTAGCCCTGCTAAACTTTTAAGTGGCAGGACTTTCCCCAGGAACAGGGACGGGCAGGGCAGAATCGGAGATGGAAAGCAATGGGCGTTTTCGGCCATGAGGCTCCGGAAGAAGGGGTGACAAGATTTACAGTCCCTAAGTATCAGATTATATAATAGGCATTGTACGAGTCTGTTGCGTAAACCTGGGAAATTAAGTTTATCTATGGCGCTGCTAATGGCCGTGAAATTTAGGTTACAGAAATGGGAAAGCAGAGAGAGCAAGAGTTCTAAGACTAAAAACACGGGAGAAAGAGAGCTAGCTGGGGGCTTGTACAGCTGTCCAATAGTATTTCACCGTCAATCTAATAATTTATTCTTCCTTAGGTTCGGCATCCCGATAAATCTGGCTCTGTTTTTTTTTTTTTTTAATAATTTTCAACTAACGCGCTTGTTCAATTCATCCCGTCCAGTTAAAAATTCAGAAAACCAAATCGGAAGTTGGACGTTACTCTTTTCGTCCCCAATATAAATCACTTCTAATCATCCCGCTAGAATTAAGAGAAGTGAGTTAAATCATCAACTTTATCTAAAAACAGAACAAGTTTCCAATCTCAGTTATGTTTATATTATAAATTTTTAAATTTGCATTACGTTCTCTTTTAATAGTTAATGGCTTTAAACAAAAGAAATATTGAAAACTTTAATTAATATCATATCCAGTGATTGATAATTATTAATCTCTTGTAATACAATTGTCTTCCGAAATTGAAATGAACCGTTGCAGAGTTACCATCAGGTGAACTAAAGACAGTTTTTCCCCTGCTTTGGGGCCAATTCGTTCATACAAAAGCTAAAAAATGATAATTTTGAGAATTATGGATTATTTTTTCCCTTATGAACGAACAACCCCAAAGCATCTCCTAAATGCTTAAACAACGCCGCAGGACTAACTGTTATTAAAGAGTCAAGCTGCATGCCAACAAGCTTATATTGAACTTTGGAACGCAAAATAACTTAAGCGAGGAGAGCAGAGAGAGGTGAGGAGTAACCGTAACTAGTTTAAAAATGAAATACTATGGTCACTTCATCAATGGTCATAAATGAAAAAGGTCGTTTGTTAATAATGAGATTAGTAACGCAGTCAAATCAAAAGGCATATCCTAAGATCGTATCCTCAGCGTTTCAAAGTCTTCTTGCTACACTGTTAAAGCAAACATAAGGATAGCGTTGGCCCAGAGGTGAGCCGTAGAAAGGTCTTATAACTCTTTACAGCAGGTGAACCATCGAGCTACTAACAAAAATTTGTGCAACAAAGGTAAGGCATTATCGGAGAGCAATGCTGAACTACTCGAGTTTTGCGCATTTTTCAGCTTAACGATAATTCTTAAAAAGGCTGCAAAAGTAAGATGCTGAATATGCTCTGATTGCTATTTTCATTCTATGCTTCTATCCTCGAAAAAATTGTTGAACTATCCATCACGATGACTATGGCTTCCGCCTATATACACTCTCATCACTGTACACAGTGGAAAAAGCCATGAAGAGGGAATATGAAGAAAACTATAGCTATTGTGCTCTACTGGACTATACAGTAATATTTCAAGCCCCCTTTTTCCCAAGTGTGTGTGTGTACGCTTTGGGGGGCGATGGCGAGAATTTAACAACTAATCTAGAAGAAGCTATCAGTCTTCAGGGCGTTGAATCTCACCCATCATGATGCGGTTGCTGGATACCACGAAACCAAGGAGTGACGGATCAAGCTGTTTCTTCCCTTTCTTGCCCTTCTTTTTACCACTCCGCCCTGCCTGTGTTCCCCCATCAAAAGACTCAGCGCCAACTCCACCGGCCGCATCTGCCTCTGGAAAAACAGGCTTTTTAAGCATGTCTATAAAAGACGTCTCTGACGCAGAACCTTCACTACACGACGAAGCCCTCCTAAATCGCACTTCCTTTTTCCCAGAAGCCTGAGCATCCGTCAGATTGCTGATTGACGGGTTTCCTGAAGGTTCCCGTCTCCCTAAAACAGAACACATTTTACTTCGAAAGATCCAATAGGTGAAAAATAAAACAGCAGTGAACAGAGAACAGAACACATTTACTTCGAAAGACTGAAAAGATAGAGTAGCCATGATAAGAGAACATACCATCGCTGGCTATAAGATTTATCACGCTGTTCTGATTGGCATTAATTCCAGATGGTTGGTCTGACTGAACATCAGGAGAAGATAAAACTCGAGATACAGGTGTGCGCTTATAGATAGCATTATCAAACCCTTTAGTTGGAAGTGTCCTGTCAGTACAAGACAATCAAACTTCTGGGGCAAGAAGAAAATAAACAATATTGATGCATGAGAATTAAGTCGCTGTTTATGCCAATTTATCCTTGGCTAGAACAGTATTGATGCATAAGAATTAAGCGACTGTTTATGCCAATTGATCCTTGGCTAGATTATTCAAAGCTCCTCTAACTCCTCTAAAATATAAGCAGATAACTTTCCTGATCATTTGACAATGAAATTCCCCTAAACATTTAAATTTATGCGAATAACTTAATTTGTCTGTAATTGACAAAGGGTTTATCTCACAATAACTTAAAATTTAAGGGAGTTATTAGAATATAACCCAAAATTCAAGGCCATCTGCTTAAAAAATAGAAGTTAAGAGATACGATTAAGGACGTATGATATTCTATCAGTAAAATAACGAACTATTAAATGGTAAGGGATAGCACTGGTTCAACAGTAAAATTGTCAACGTCTGACTAGGCGGTCGCAACTTTGAGTTGTGAAAGCAATCGTCTGCAAAAATGCAAGGCAAGGCTGCGCATAACAGACCCAAAGTAGGTCTACCCTCCCCATACCTTGTGTGTAGCGGAAGCTTCACGCACTGAGCTGCCCTTTAATGAACATTAATGGCAGGGGAGTTATCCGCACAAAGTTGGAAGTCTAGAAGAATTCCATGTCAAACTTCAAATAAAAGGCAGATTATTTGCACATGACTCAAAATCACGGAAAGTTTTGTCTACTGTAGCTATCATCCCCTATATTTGAAGCCCTCCCCCCCCCCCCCCAAAAAAAAAAAAAACACCCATACCCACTTTCCCCCTCTTTCTTCCCTTTTTGTTGGCCTCTAATACACCTATGCAACCAAATTGAGATAAGGAATGGCACCGTTACGAGGCTTGAACTCAAATAATCTAATACAATTCTTGCCCATCAACCAGCAAACAGATCAAAATATTTTCTAGAATGACCCAAACAATTAAACAGCCAGATTGGATTGAACAAAATAAAAATGCAAAATATGCAGAAAGAGTATTACCTGTCACTAGAACTTTCATCCCCATGTGAATTATTTAAAACTAACTCACGACCATATGAACCCCCATCACCACCTGCAGTTTCATGTTCAAAATTATATCTAAGAGTTATGTCTACTAAAGCAAGCAGTATGGGGAACATTACCTGCACTGCTCAGTGAGCTACGTCTACTATGGGCAATAACAGGAAGTTCCATTGGATGCATGGTGCCTTCTATTCGTTCAGAGAAGTCTGAGACACCTGAAAGTGACTTGCTCATTGAGCTTAAAAATTCATGCCTCTGCCCCTTATTTGTCTCCGACTCCAGCAAGTCATTGTCCATAGCTGACTTATTAATTAGGAGAGGATTTCCGTACACAGGATTTAAAGTATCTCTGTTGGCAGAGAAGAGTGATGGTTCTTCCACTAACGATCCAGACCTAGACCAGAAAGGCATTCTTTCATTGGTCCCTAAATTACTGTATTGCTCAGCCATTTTCATGCTTTTAAAATGGTCTTGCATTACAGCATTTGGATTGGAACTTGGAGACCCGTCTATAAACGAATCATCCAGATGCTGCTGATCTTGTGGAAGATCAAAGGGCTGAATTAATGAATTAGCCCCAGGAACTTGCCAGGACTGATCATGATTTCTTGATGAAAGAGGATGCCATTTATCAACATGTGATTGTTGTGTTGACCGAAGACCAAGTTTTTGATGAATCAGATCCGCTAAACCTTGGGCTGGAATCTGTTCATGAGTTCCAGAAGATGCAGACACGTCTAGATCTGCTGATGGAACAGTAACTCCAAATTCTCTTCTGTGTCTCCCACCTTCAACGTGTTGCAGTTCCATCCGTGGGTCAGTCCAGTTATTTTCCAAATCTCCATTATTCACAGAGAAACCCTTGAACGCATCTGTGTTATGAGCAAAAAGCTCATCAGACGCTTGTAAATGATGAGAGGCTAAAGAACCAAGGTGACTGGGGATGCGCATGTAGCGATTTTGTTCTTGCAATTCCCTTCCTTGTACAGAATTACCTACACTATCAAAATTCATTGCCAGAGCACCAGCAGAAGCAGCTGTAGACCTCTCAAACATAGAAATGGGGTCATAGAACCCTCTCTGCTTCTGCTCAGCAAGGTTCCTGCCCAGATAGCTCAATTGCTCCTCTTGTGGCAAAAACCTCTGCTGCTGTTTTGGGAAATCTGAAGCATTATATCCGGCTGTGTGAGTCAATTGATGAGTTGCAGGATTTCTTAATAATTGTGCCGTTTCATTCATTGCCCAAGACCTACCAAAATGCCCTTCTCCTTCCAAACCCAACTGCTGTCCAAGTGCAAAAGCTAACTGCTGTGCCCGCACCTGTTCTTGCTGGAGATGAAGCTGCTGTTCTGAAGGCAGGATATTCCCGTGTCTTGATTGCATCAAAAGGTCTGAAAAATCAGCTTGCCTTCCTTGGACAGCATGGGCCATATTTGCTTGGATAATCTGCTCCATTGACGGATCCAGATGCCTTGAATAAGAATTCTGCTGTGAGTCATGCAACATGTGTTTCCTCATCTGAAGCTGATCAAACAAGTTCTCTCTAGCAAGATCAAGTTTTGACTGCCCCAAATTTGAATCTGGTATTGGGGGATGTCTCAACTGTTCAAGATACAACTGCTTAGCTTGAGATTCTTGCTGTTGTTGCAATTCCATTTGTTGAAGAAGTTGTTGATGGTGCATCTCTTGCTGTTGTTGAAACTCAAGCTGGCGTCTGAGTCCCATAAGCTGCTCCAAATCTGACCCTGAATTATGGATCATTTGCTGAATGCCAGAGTTATTGTTCTGTGAATGAGAGAAACTTGAAAATCGCTCTAAATTTGACCCGGTAAGATGTTCAGGGAAATGATTAGATAGACTAGCTTGCTGCTGAAGCCGTTCCTCCTGCAGATTTTGCAACAAAAGATTCTCTGGCACATCAAAGTTATTATATTTTTGTCCCATGTGGGACAAGTAGCGCTCATCTAATGAACCCACAAATTGATCATGATTAAAATGCCTGTTTAACCCATGATCATCTGACCATGTCTCCCTGTTAGAAGGCTGACCAACCATACCACCAAAAGAACTTTGATCAGCAAAAGGGGCATCTCTATCTATTAATGAATCTAGAAAATGACCCTGATCACCAATTCTTGAAGATGTATTGTAGGACTGTGCACGTCTTAAGTGAGAGGCATCTCTGAGCTCAGACATCAATAGACCAAAGGGATGCAGCTTATCAGCCTCGTGCATATCACTCCTTGAAACTTCATTTGCAATGGGTTGATGAGAAAGACTGTTATAAGATGAGGTTATCTCAGAAGGCCTCATCAAAGGGTTACAACTGCTGCTTCTGGCCATTTTTGATAAAGCAATGTCTACACAAATAGAATTGGATAGAGATTAGAAATGAATAAGTACAAATGACATGGAAAATAAATCGATTGAAGATATAACAGAGGACAACTATGACGACAACAAAATGAGTAAGCAATCCCTCACCACCATCTTGTGTGACAAAACTATTAAAGCTCTGATCACCAGAAAATTTACTTGGATAACTTTGATCGGGTATTTGGGACCGAAAGCCCGCACTTGACGTAGTCTCAGGTTGGGATGAAGCCCAAGTTTGATCATCTATAATGATAGACCCATCATAGTCAAGAGAATGAACATTAGCCTTCAGGTTCCTTCCAGTGGCATCAGATACTTCTGATTGAGTAGTAAGGTCACTGCCAGTAACTGAACCAGACTTTGCTCTAAGGTGAGGCATGATACGACCAAGTTCTTGAAAGGGAGAACCTTCAGGGGCATCTGACCAGCGAACTGGTAAGTCTGTGCTGAAAAAGCCTTGTTCAAACCATGAAATAATGTCAATCCCAAGAAAGGGGCCTTGAACTACCCCTTGCGGGTCAAGATAGCACAAACTCAAGTCCTCGGGTGCAACAACACTTTCAAGCAGATGCAACTTCTCATTCATCTTCAAGTCTTGTTGAATAATACTTGGAGTTTGGTGCAGAGGTGAAAAATCAAAAAGATTGCCAGAGTCGTCAGGTAGATCACTACTGATTTCTGATGCGGCAGATGATTTGAAAGCATCCCCATTAGCTTGGGTCTGAAAGGCAGAGGCCAGTACCCGTTGGCTATCATAAGTTTCTGGTTCAGCAACATAATTGCTGTGAACACTTCCCACCTGATAGCTGCTGGCATAATTCTCATCTTTGTCAGGTACACCATGGCTAAGCATGTCTTTCTTCTTTCCTTCTCTAATAGGTACAACTCCTGAATAGACAAATTAATTTCTATCCATTACTTGTGATGAAATGAGAAGATTTTACTTTCACTTAATTAGAATAAAGCCAGAGAGGAAAATAGTAATATCTCACCATCGACTATATCTTTCAATGGACCATCAGCATTTGATGCTGCTGCAATCAAAATTGCATCAGAATCACTCAAGACATTACCTCCGGAATCAACTATTCCTCTCAGGCCAGTTGACAAAGTTTGTTTTCCTTTAGCTAAATCAGCACCTGAATGGAATCAGGGAGGAATTCCATCAAAAGAACGGAAGATAAAAATTTTACAGAACGAACTGAAAAAAGCATACAATTTATCACCTGAAATATCATTATTTGATCCTCCACCCTTTTCTCCCAAGAAGTAGCTTGAGACTTCACTGTTAGAAATTTTTCCACCCCATATATCGCTAAGTACAGCCTACAATCAACATACAAAACTTAAGAATGTGAATGAAAAACACGCCAATGACCACTCAGGTGGTCTGACCATCAGACGCACCACAAGCTAAAAAGATTGCATAAAAGATCAAAAACAAATTCTTTTTGGATGCAAAACAGATGAGGGACCCCGTACATTTTGAATGTGGTTTAAAGAATGAGCTATACTACTTTTTTTATTGATAGCATACGAATCATGTGGCTTGCTATAGATTTTATATTGAATATTGATATTGATTCATCACAGGAACAGGAATCAAATATGCCACGTCCACATACCTTTTCCTCAGCATTAGGAGCAACAAATGCCAATGGTTCATCAAATCCAGGTTGCGTTATTGGTGAACAATCCTCAATCCCACTGGGCATGGTTTTAAAAGCTGGATCAAGCTTTCGCCTACGATATATGTCAAGAAGCTTACCCCTAGGGTAGCAATATGAATTGACAGGAAGACAAGATTTCCCCAGCACAGCTTTACTATTATCCAAAGGAGCAGACACCAAGTTAGAGCCCAAGAATGGTTTTCCAATTTGTTGGTTTGCATTGAAATTGGCCCTTCCTCGTCCAGGAGAAAATCTCACGTTGGAACCTTCAATACGCGCTTTCTCCAGCCCGAATCCAGGGGCAGCACGATATGTGGCCACACCAGTTGCTTGAGCTTCCATCCGATGTCGAGGCCTCCATTTGTCACGAGAATCTGTGTCACGTTCAGAACCTAAGCGACTGCTAACACCAGAAGCCTGTTTTTCAACCTGAGCATCTTCCTTTTCAGCATCACTCCTTTTGTCACTCCGAGAATCCTTTTCTTTTTCTTCAGGACCCCATCTTGATGACCACTTATTCTCTCTCCGAGAATCATGACCTAAGCCACGACCATCATGCCAGCGATCAGAGGAAGGCAGGGCTCTGTTCTCCGAAGTTGAGGTAACCTCTGGACGACGATCCTCTTTTCTGCGATCCCTTCTCCCTAGTAAGCTTGTCTCTCTCTCCTCTTCACGCCAACGACGACTAGTGTCAACATCTGTGGCAGTTCTCCTCCAATCTTTCTTATCTTGGGACCCATCCATACGCCAACTATCTTTCAGTATGGGGTCAGTAGAGTTAGCCTGATGAAAATAACCAAGCAGAAAAATATAATATTGATTCCCCTTAATTAGGCAAACTAATGAGTTAAAAGCTCACTAGATACATAATATGGAGCAGAAATATCATTGCAAGTGCAATAATAATTCTTCAATCCAACAAAAAAAAATAGAAACTAAACATTGTGTATTTAAAAGAACAAATCCAGTGTTTAATCAGAAGATATGAAGAAGACAACCAAAAGAGATTGGAATCATCCCCATTCCTCCAGCCTGTCACTTTTTCTTAATAGAAAGTACATCTTAGAGCGCACAATGCTGATGAAGCGCCTAATTCAACATCAATAGAGTTGACTGCAAATACGTAACTTCATATTGCCCTGTTAAGGGAAAATAAAATCTGTTCTTGGGAAAGTTTCCAGGCTAAATGCCATAAACTAAGGTCAAAAGAGCACCCTTTATAACATACTGATACGCTGGAAAACTGCAAACAAAATTATTAGTTTGCACTGTCACAATTCAATGAGGGACAGTGATCCAGGGCAATAAATTACATCTTAAAGTCTTATAAAAATTCTAAAATCTAATTGTTATCCATTAGCTTCTCTCATACTCCACATATAGTCTTAAGTAAGTAATCGGCTGCATGTTCCCTTCCCCACACTACACCACTAAGCCTACATGCGGAGAAGAAAGAAACTATCAAGATAAAATGATAGCATCTTTAGATTAAGAAGACAGCGCCAGTAAGCAAGCATTAGACCATCAATCAGCTGTCCCATCTCAAGGATAAAATAATAATAAAAGAGAGGCCTAACAGACAGAGATTTAGTAAAAATGAAAAAGTTTGATAATCCACAACAAATGAAAAGCGAGTGTTTCCCACCCCCATTGAGTTGTTAGCTGATGTCTTTGTTTCGATGGGTTTAGAATAAAGCCACTGTGGAGATAAGGGTATGCTGCTGTCCGATGGCACTTGATCTGAAAGTAAAAGCAGTCTTTATCAACCAACAGTCACTATATGGGCAAAATTTACAGAAAAATACGAAACTTTAATGTTATGTTTCACTTATACCATGATTAACAAGTACCTTTTGAATAATCTGGTATCAATACGGTCCCTTTCTGCCCACCATCTCCTCCCGATGCTTCAACTACCACAACCCAGAACACAAAGAGTTAGCCATGCATTCAATTCAGTTTGTACATAAAAACACTGATGGGATACATAATCAGAATAAAAGAAACGAACAAATCAAAAAATCAAGAGATTTATCAAAATTTGCGACCATATAACCAGGGCAATCATAAAATGAAAGATAAAACAAATTAAAGCGTGCAAATAACAATATGCAAGCCTTACCCGATGAAGAAATAACACCAACATGACAACTGAGGAAAGAGGAGAACAATACCATTCTTCATGATTTATATTTATAGCTAAAAAAGAACAAAGTTAACTAGACTCCTTGACAAGAAGGGGGGAGGAACGAAACATCACTTACGGGCAAATCAGCCCATTAAAGCACTGGTGCTTACAATCCAGGTCGAAAGATTACGGTATTAAATAAATATAGTGAGACAGGAACGCTCGCTCAGAAGAGTCAAACCGAGATAAGGTAGACAGCATAACTTTAATCCTCAATTGTAAGTGAAGTCAACCCCAAAAATACAAGGAAATAGCCATACAAAATAAAAAATGCCCACGAAGGAAGATATAGGAATGTCGGGCATCCGATTCACTCGCACAAAGCACCACAGATTGAAATTCAACGGATCCAGACGAAGTAGGAAACAATGCTACACAATAAAATAAAACAGCAAAGATGCCAATAAATAGAAATTAAGAGGAAAGCCCTAACAAGAAAATCACCTTTGAGAGAGGAATGCCCCTCGGCAATCCTGGAGGAGAAGAGATCATCAGGCAGATTAACCTTTCCGTCAGCCATCGCGGTTGAGTTGCAGATGGTCCAATTCAGAGACAGGGAGGTCAAATTAGGGGAGAAGGCAGCGGATGAATGCAAAGCAGGGAATATAGCTCCGATTGGTGGCAAGTGAAATGTGTCAAGTCAGCAAGGAATCAGAAGAAGAGAGGGGTAGGGTTTGCGAATTGCAGAGAGTAGAACATAGATAGAAGAAGGAAGAAGAAGAGAGAGGAGCAGAAGGAGGGTAAGGGTTTGGGGCCAGGGGCTGATCAACGGAAGAATAACCAAAGAGCGAGCAGTGTGATTCAGATGAATTATTAATTTCACACATTACAAGTCACCCAGATGCTTAATAAATACGTCTCATTAGTTGTGCAAAATTTTACTATTTAAAAACAAATATTGTGAAATTTATTTTTAAATTTTTTTTACTATTTTTAAGTCATCAATAAAACTGCTCATTTTTGTGCTCCATGCAAAACATGATTCAAACAATGGTATCCAATTTTTATGCCAGCAGAAAATCAAATCATTTTGATGTAAAACAATGCCGCCACGTTTCAGTACCATCCATGATAGAAGATTTATCATCTATATTTCCGAACACATTGTTCTTTTATGTTTTAAAATTTAAATTTTATCTATCTAAAAAAAACAATCTTTCACCCACTTCAAAACGAAGGTGATGTAGGAGGTTAAGCTTCTTTGCTTTGTTTTGTATATTGACTTACTGATCTAGCTCTGTATCCAGTTTTTTACTCAAAAAAAAAAAACGATCGTTTATTATTCGTATTAGGCTCCCTTGCTCCATCTCCTATACAGAAGCTGCGAAGGTGAAAACTAAACGTCGTGTTTAACTTATTGATTTGAAAATCGACACCACGTTACTGTAAAAAGGAAATTGTCTTTTTGGGACCAAAGTGGACGTGTGTGTGTCACGGATAGAGAGAGAGAGAGAGAGCGTTCTGGCATCCTTTACAGCAAAGTAATTGAAAAGGGTCATCTTTCAGTCAGCAAATGATATAGTATTTTACATCATTGTTAAAGCACAAGTGATGGAGGGGAAATTAAAATGATGAACCTTTTTCTTCACATGTTAGAACGTTCAGCCCGCTAACCAATGAGAGACCAGTGGAAGAAATTCAATGAATAAACTAAGTAAATCTCATCGGAGAAGATAAGGTTATATGGCATATGTAGAAAGATGGTGTTCTTAATTATCTAAATCCGAAATCTTAATATCCATTACCGTTCCCACTCGTCAAGACATCTGCAACATCCCTGCCTGAAGGCCTACGAAGTTGGACGACACTACAAATAATAAATCTGCAAAGTCATACATCAATATGGCAAAATGGTTCATGGAGAGGCCTTGAGCATTAAACGAGAGACAGAGAACATTCTTAATAATTTAAAAGCATTAAACGCTAAATGAAGCATTCCTAATGCACTTGCATAGTGAAAAAGTTCGCTGGCACAAGCAGATGGAAATGAACAGGGGTTTCTTTCTCGTGGTAACAGAATCATTTGCTCAAAGCCGATAATCTGGTCACATGATGATATAAGTAGCAATGGAGTGCATACCATGCTTGGTCCATTGAGTGTTAATGGATGGAGCGTTAGCAACAGGAAAGAATAAGAGAAGATCACATGATGCAAAATCTCGTTGCAAAATGTGGTACCCAATAATTTCTGCTGCACCTTTCCCTGCATTATTGGCAGTAATATTAGCATAAATTTGACTCGGCGCAGAGGAACTTCTGTTCATCGCACTAATCACATATTATCTGCCCGTGTTCCTTTCACCCACTGTAAAAATCAACACAGACATTTAACTACACAGGTACGTATGAGATTCCTCATCACTCCCGAGTTGTAATAACCAAGAGGACGGACCGGTCGTAATCAAGCATCATGCACAAGAAAGTGGCCACAGAATATTCCCGTTTCAGCCCAAGTTAAAAGGTCACTTTAATGGACCCACTATCATTAGTGTGGCACCTGCTGCAAATACATTGGCTGCAACCATTGACATCCAGAATTAGATGCCAACTAGTATTAAGAAGTATTTAGAGGAACAAAATCATGATTTTAAATTTTTTTTATTATATACAAAATAAATATATGAAAAAATTTATTTTGATTTACAAAAAAATATTCCTAAAAAAAAGTGCTTTTGAGATTATCCAAATACTTTTTTAATACTGTTATCAAATCACAAGACGGCCTGATTGATGGATCCCAGGTGATTAAATTAGATCAAGCAGAAACCAAAGCTATCTTCGGAACTGAAGCGGCTAACAAAGTACTTTTGTTTCGGATGTTTCACGGTCTCGAAATCGTTCCTCTATTTTTCAGATTGAGGGAGGAAAATTATTTATGATTTTGAATGAAGATGCTAGCTAGAAGAGGTGTCAGTTAGTTCCACCGCTACCCATCAAACGCAAGCGAACTAGAATTCCCATCTATTTCCAATAACCACCTCACGCAACCATGGCATCAAAAGAAATTTGGCCCACTCCATAATTCCTTCATGGCATCAAAGGCGGGAGACCAGGAAAAATAACCTAAGGGGTGATTAGGAATACATGCTAAATTTAACTTTATAAAACTTTTAGAACCATAATTTAACACCCTTTACACAGTTGTCGCTTACCTGTTCATTCATCAAGGCCTCAATATTGAAGGCGACCACAAACCGACTCAGACACTTCAAAGTCAGCCGCATCAGTTAGCCAGACTCAACCAATTTAGGTAGCCTCACCGCATGGCTCATCATTGTGTTATGTGCCATATGGGCTAACGGTACGAGTACCCGAAGCGAAGCGAAAACTCGCAAGTAGATTGCACTAAAAAGTACGTCGACAACAAGCCAAACAATGCAAGAGACAAAAATCTAAATGGCATGCGGCTTTTAGGTTAGTTCTGAAACAAAAATTTAAACTCATAAATAACTATTACAGTATGGAAGCTCCAAGATCAAACTCAAGTACTCGTTAAATTTTAGTCCGCAAGCTTCCGCAACAGAAAGGAAACCTCTCGTTTAACTGATATGAATTCGACAGCGAAATATTGAAATTGAAAATTATCATCAAATTTCCTAAGCTCAAAAACATGAAACTTAAGTCATTCTCTGTGCCGCTTCCTTGGCAAGGAGCCTTTCCTTGGCCTTGGTTTTGGCTTGGGATTTAGAGCCCATAATCCCACCACCCCATTTCTTCCTGTATTCATCATACTTGTCATTGAAGTTGGCCTGCACAAAGAATACACAAAACAATAAAAGCCCATTAATTCTCCAACAAGCAAAATGAGGGAGCAAAACAACTAAAAGAACCCATAAATTACCTTGATCGCCTCTAGAATCTTAGAGAATTCTAATTTATCTTCATTCTTGACTGTTGTCAAGCACAAAACTGATGCAGTTTTTTTATGGACGATCTGCCAAAGGAAGCAAAATTTCAATTAGATCCAATCACAAAATATAATCAATCAATATGCCAAGAGAAAACTACTTTATGACAAAGGAAAATATTACCGATCCCAAGCGTGCCTTGCCCTTGACAATGCAGTAGGGAATTTCCATCTTCCTGCACAATGCTGGCAGCCAGACAACCAGCTCAATTGGGTCTACATCATGCGCAATCACAACCAGCTGTGCCTTATTCTGCGAAGCAAGAAAAAACAGTTAGTCAAATGCCCGGGATGTAAAGGACAATGTCATGCATCGACAGAAAGGAGCAGACCTGCTCAATAAGGTAAGTCACGTGATTGAGACCATATTTTACAACAATAGGCTTCTTAGCTTCAGTAGATTTTCCTTCCGCTTCTGCCTGAGCCCTCTTCAAGAGTCGCTCTTTCTTTTCAGCTTTATCCTCAGGCCTGTACTTAAGGAGCATCTTGAACAGGCTAGTTGCTGCAAATGACGTCAATAGAAGGTAATCAGTAAAGATTTTTGCACGAGAGCTGGTTGATATATTTTTGCACGAGAAAAAAATCTAACACGGTCAGGGAAAATTAATGACAAAGAAAGATAACTAATATTTTCGTAGATATTCACGAAGCAATTACTCAACACTATCAAATGATAAGTCTTCATTACCAAAAATTCCAGACCAATACAACATGAACGAGCCCAAAACATTAATCAAGAAGCTGCAAATTAGCTTCCAGTTAGACGCATGCAGGCACCATATTCCGGAACAATGTGCAGTAAGATGCCATCAAATATGAATTACACCATATTGCACATGCCGCCAAAGTCTTAGGGGTGATTCAAGTTAGTATCCATCAAGATGACTATTCGACCTTGACTTCCAAAGATAAAGTAATAGTTTAAAGCTTGGACCAAAGCACGGTTAACCTTAGAGTTCAAATTTGCTGGTGGGCATGAATTACTCTATTACTTAATTTTTTTCTTAGAAATTTAGATGCCTTTATTAAGTAAATTATCTAAATAAGAAATGTGCAGCAATCCGTTCGTTTGATAAAACTATCAAAATCATACTCTAGATTACAATAGGCACCCGAACAAGAACTGAAGAAAGTTTCGAACGACATGACAGAAGAAAAACCAGAGTTAGGAATTGGGGGGGAAAAAACGAATCCTGGGGTTCAATCAGTTTTCATACCAAGGTTCTTGTCCAGTGTTTTGGTGAACTGGTTCAATGCTGGCGGGACCTTCAACCTTTGCTTGAGGATCCTCTTTTTCCTCTGGATTTGAACAGTCTTGGGCCACTTTACGAATCGAGTAAGGTCCCTCTTAGGAGGCAATGCACCTCCGATCCCGAATTGCTTCGGACGCTTCTCGAAAAGTGGGTTGACGACCTACTCCAAGAATCAAACAAAGAAAATGGAAGCCAAATCATTTCACGATTTCAATATAATGCCCAAAAATGAAACCGTTCATTTAATCGAAAGAATGACAATTGAGACACAGACCTGCTGCTTCTTCTTAGCAGCCGCAACAGGAGCTTTCACACCTCTTTTGGGGGCCTGATGATAAGTGGATAAAAAGCACCGAATTTATTAGCACGTTGATGACACAAGCTCCATAACAATTCTCTTGAACTTAAACCACACCAAGCCTAATATCGTAACATGTAGGCATGCTAACAACTCTTCCTATGAATAAATATTCTAACTCCGAGAACTGAGAAATTTTTTGCATGGCAGATCACTGGCTACTAAAACCACAATCTCGTCGAAACATGAATCAGAACACGTCTCGAGAAGATGTAAGAACACAAGACTCAGTTAAACAAACGCAAAGAAATGAAGCATTACTCACCATTGCCGCTGATCCCGCTGCTGCTGGCGACGAGGTAGTAAGAACGAAAACCCTAATCCCTTACTAGGTTTATATGGTTTCGGCTTGGATGGGCCGAGCTAGATGAGTCCACGATGAAAACCCTAAAAAGGACGCAATGTCTCGCTGTGCAAAGCCCACCCATTAGGGAATCGAACGGTCACCACACTTCAGATGATCTGACGGTTACAGTTATACGGTGGGACCCACTATTGTCCTTTTCCAAATTTTTCCCCCCAAAAAAACTCTAAAATTAAAATGGTGTGGTGTAAAATCCACTTGGTTTGGAGGCTTGGTTGGACGAAAATAATAAAGCCAAGAGGGGAGAGCACTTAGACAATTCACTTGAGTACAGGGAAGTCTGCTGGTAGGAATTCTTCAGGGCGTATTATACTACCTTCTGTCCTCATTTGATTTTTTTTTTTGCCATAAAAATAAAATCACAATTTACTTTATCTTTCATATTTATTTTTTTTAAAATAGTTTTTTTAATAATGATAATTTTGACTAATAAACTAGTAAGGACATTTTAAAAAAATAATACATATTTATTATAAATAATTAATTTAACTTATTTTTTTAATCTATTCAAATTAATCAACTAACTCTTATATTTAGAACTAGAGATAATATAAAAATAAAAAAGCAATGATGATCAAGGACTCTAACACTCCAACTGTAAAAAAAATGTGTATTTAAATTATTTAATAATTTATTAAAAAATACATATTTTAATTAGAAAATGCAGAATAAAAAATTATAATTACAAAATTATTTTAAAATTTTTTTTGCCAGCAAATTATCAAAACAGAAGAATGAGGCTATTAGTTTTTTTTTTGTAAGAAATTTTTAGAAAATGAGTTGGGTTCACCCATGATCCAAAGACAGGATACTTAACGCTTGATCTACCGAAACCTGTCCCTACAAACATGGGAGCATGATAAACAAGTTTTTCCCCCCCAATAGGTAGGAATCTCCCAATTTTACTATGCTGTGGTGATACCTTTCCCAATACTACGACTGGAGTCACAACAAAATGACACTTCTCAGAATCGAACCCCTTCTTTTCAGTGAGATAGCCTGACCTGTTCGCCAGCTGATCCACCTCTCGTCCCTATCAACTTTTAACCACCGAGTATGAATTGTCAATGTGGGGTCCAAAACATACTAAGCTGTCCATCCATCCGTTGGTATTTTTGGGCCTTCTTCATGTGGTCACTTGGGCAAGGGATGGGCTGAGTTAGGTGAGATCCACATCAAATGTTTGACCTTCAAGCTGGTATTTTTAGTTGTCACTTAAAAAAATAAAAAATGTTAAAGCTGTCAATGAGAGGCTAGCCCTAAAGGGTCAAGACCTAAAAATACTAACCTTTTAAAGCCCAATTTTGAAATGTGTGGGCTCAGGGCTTAAAAAAACAGGCCTTTTTATATTATTTTTTAAAATTTAAATTTTTTTAAATATTCTGAAATAAAAAATAAAATAATAAAACTTCTAAATTTTTTTATTCAAATTATAATATTAGTAAAATAAATTAATAATGTATAGAGAAAAACATCAAACACTAATGAATTATTATCCAGACTATAAAAAAAACTAAATAAAACATGGAAAGCAAAAAGATAAATTCTTAGCAATTAAAAATTAACAACATCAACATGATTATTATCTTCATTTTTATTACCATCATCAAGATCAATAGTATTTGATCGTTCTTTACTAGATATGGGCTCTTCTTTAGTGATAAAGATATCAAAGTTTTTGTTTTCATTACATTTATCTAAAGTAAAACTATATAGTAGTTACGAGTATAAGTGAGAGCCTAAACATTTGTTAGAATAAGAGAATTTCTGTACTTTGCTAAGACAAGTGAATTGATAGTGAAGAAAGATTCACTAGCTACTATAGTAATTGAAATGTTAAGAATCTCAACTGATATTCTTGAAAGAATTGGAGATTGATTTTAATTGTCATTCTACCTGTTCAAGAGATCTAATTGCTTTCAATTACATGGATTAAGTATTGGTTCTTCTAAATAATTTCCTAATTTAGACTTATCTATAAAAAGACTAATCTACAATCATATAAATTATATATCGTAATAGCAAAAAAAAAAAAAAGCGGGCTTAAAAGGATTGGCGCAGGGCCCTAATGGGTTGGCATTTTTATTTTTAAGTCCTACAGAGCTAACTCTTTGAAATCCAATTTCCTTTTAAGCCCCTTAAAATACAAGTCTGGCCCTTCACTTAAAAAGGCTTACATGAGCTAGCTTGATGGGCTGAGCCGTTTTGACAGCTCTAAAAAATTAGTTATTCACAGTGTAGGAAATCAAAGTTTGAATTTATGCTAAGAGATGTACTTATATTTAATGCTTGATTATATCTCATACAAGATTGCTTTCACTAAAAGGATACCTACTAGTAATTTTCTAGATGACCCATTTCTTGTTTGATCTCTACTGCAAGACATTTTCAAGTGGTTTATATTATAAAAGTCATTAAGCAGGGTGTTAATTACATTTTTTTTAACACTGCCTCATACGACATTTGATGCAATTCTTCTTTTCCGCTTCTCAATATATATTTTGTGATTTTAAATACGGGAATTTTTTTAAAAAAAAAAGTTATTTGTGAACAAATTTAATAACTCAGCCGTCTGTCCGCTGACTCTAGTGTAGGTGGGGATTCCTCATAACAGGGATGAAAGTGATATCAGGGATCCAGGTAGTAATGGGATAATGCGAGCATCAAGTTACTAGTCGAGTAATAGTTTCATGGCATCTGCAAGATCAATCAGAATGATATACTCCATGGTATTAGGCATTAACCAATCGCAACTTTTATGACTTTAAGGCTTGATTATTTCATGATCAAAGCACATTATTGCCACTACTGCGTTTTCAACACCAAGCCTTCTATTCATCGATCTCTTACGTGCGTTCGGTTCTACACCTCTACTGTTTATTACTATTTTCTTTTTCTTATGAAGAGTAGTTTTACACGACTGTTCTATAATTTGACCAGGATGATCATAGTTCCGTCCCTTTAGTATTATAGCTGTACCATGTTCACGCCTTTGACTTGTGAGATAAAGTAGAATATTTAATTTGCTTTGTCCACTCTCAGTATCATTAATACCATACACAAGGAGGCAAGCTTTTGCGTTCTCTCTCTGTTTTCTTTATGTTTTACCACATGGACATATCAGTCATACTCGGAGGCACGTTTTCACTTTTTTCCCCCCCCCCCATATATAGCGATCAAACTTACAATTACATATTATTAATTTGAACTTGAAGAACTTGGCTCTTATCTTCAAAAGAATAGCTAGAGTACACCTGCTCCTCGTTAATTCCTACTCTATATAGTTACACACACAGATATATATATATATATATATATCAGTTTCTTCTTCTCCATATATAGCTCACAGAGAAGGCTTCATCAAGACACAAGAGGAAGATGATATCCCGAGGCTGCAATTGTGTTGATGGCATAAGCTGTGTGCTATTTTAATTGCTGTTCCTCTCATCTTTCTTCTTGTCCTCGCAGCTATAACATCAGTGTCATTATGTTTATTTTCCTGTTCCTGAGTTCGGTTAAGTTATTACAGGCTTTCAAGAATCAGATGGCTTTACGTATATGTGCATGCATTTATGGATTATGTGTAAGCGAAAAGTTTCACATTCTTTGTTGTTTAATAGTAAGCATCATGGCATCATGTTATAAATTCTATGTTACGGTTTTAAAAACGAAGGACTAACGAATCTAGCTGCAGGATCTCAAACGACCCAATAAAAAATTTTTAAAAAAAAACTCAGGGACCTCATTAAAAATTGAGGCAAACTATAAATACATCCGAATTAGCTTTTTTTTCTTTTTAATATATGTCGTAGGTTTCACACTCACTTTTTCTTATTGCAACCCCTATTATTTTTTTATTCTCTTTTAGTATGTCAAAATTTTCCCCAAAAAAAAGAAAACATGGGATGGTAGAGCCCAGGTTTAATACACAAGATTATACTACCTCCCATCCTTAATATAAAGGTTTCTTTGACTTTTAATTTGGTTCTAAATATAATGCACCAATCCACCTTATCTCTCATGTTTATCTATTTTTTAAAAATAATTCCTGTAGTAGTTACACACATTAAATATTTTATCAAATGACACTTGATTAGTAAGGGCATTTTAGTGAAGATAACACATATTTACTATTATAAACAAATAACTTATTTAATTTTTTTAATTTACTCAAATTAATTAACTAATTTTTATATTAAGTATCGGAGATAGTATTTATAAAGACGCCAGGCATTAAAGTTTGTTTAATGCGTAGTGTATTGTTTCAGCGTTGAAGTAAAAAGGAAGCATGAAATTCAATTCAACCTGCATCATTAATATGACTTTTGAATAATGAATTTTATATAGGAGCATTTTAACCGGAAAATTTACGATATAGTGTAGCAACTGTATGTTATTTAATATTTATAGTTAATTTATTATTTACAAGAAATTTTATTTGTACAGAAAATTCACAGGGCAAATCATATCAAAGTGTTGGGCAGTGAATTGATCTGCGCGCATCTTTTAAAGGTGAATGATTAAGGGCTTGTTTGGATTGATTTATAAGTAACTTTTCAAATGTGATTTACGGAATATGAAGTAAATATTTACGAAAAATTTTATCTCAACTTACGTGAATTTATTTAAAAGTCTGTTTTGAACAAGCTCCAAACAAACTCTAAGACTCTAAACACAATTTTGATTGTCTTGTCCTACTCCTACACGATTACTACTATTTTTTTTTTTATAAAAGAGTTTTGTCAGGAAAAAACTCTTTATACTGTATATTTATTGGAATAATTTTTATCCTAATTAAAAAGGAAGAGCGTGATCTATTTCTAATTAAATAAGAGTATTTTAAAAAGAAGTTTAAAGCCATAACAAAAATATTATATCTATTGCCTCTAACATGCTTTAACTGCACCTTTTGTTTTGATAAATTTACCATTTTTTTTTTATAGTAAAGACGGGAAATAATATATCGGATATATTAAGATAGAAAGCGAAACTAAATTTATAAATAAGTCTTTACATCTTTCTTGGTTTTGAAAAAAAAAATTCATATCTTTGACATGATATGATAACGAATTGTAAACACACAAGCACTATCATGTTCTTATTCAAAAATTATACTACCTCCGGTCCTTAATATAAGATCTGGTTTGACTTTTATTTTGATCCTAAATATAAGACCCCATCTACTTTATCTCTCATATTTATGCATTTTTTTCAAGGGAAAACCATATCATAAGTACCTCTACTTTCTCTCAATTTTTAATTTGGTACCTATGTGTTTTTTCCTCTTGATTAAACATTTAATTTTATTTTTTTAGCAACATTAGCTCTTATAACTTTGTTCTATTGGCATTTTTAGTCTCTATATAAGGATTAATGATGTTAATTGAGCAAAATTAAAGATTTAGTTAAGAACAAAAAACACATAGGTACCAAATTGAAAATTTAAAAAATACAGGTACCTCCAATATGGTTTTCCCTTTTTTTCAAAGTAGTCGTTTTAACAATAGTAACTCTAACTAATACACTTGATTAGCAAGGATATTTTAGGAAAGACAACACATATTTATTACAAATAACTAACTTAACTTCTTTTCTTAATCTCTTCAAATCAGTCAACTAGCTCTTATAATTAGAACCGGAGATAGTACTTTAATATTGGATTTGGATGGTTATGAAAAGGTCCAAATTTACAAGCTTAGTATTACGTGCTCTTCTAACCCTAATTAGCTGCTACCTCTTAACCAAATTCATGGGGAAGATGACGGATTAGGGCATGATATTTTCACTTGCTGCTAACCCTAGCATAAGTTTATATTCTGCGGTGGTTACTGATGGATTAGGGCATGATATTAAATTAAACAGCAAGCATGCAAGGTTTAACTTCCAGAACCCTAGGAGTTAATTCACAGACCAGGCCAGCCCCACCGTATGAGCCGATTATATTTTCACTTGCTCCTTCTGACTACGTTGATTATTAACGTCTAATAGGTCTCTGGACCAAGTGATCCGCTCTTTTTACCACCGACAAGCCAAAACCTCCTTCTTTAAAACTGCACTAGTAATCCCAAGAAAAGAAACACGCAGAAGCAAACAAATATCTTTCCTCTAAAGCCTCTTCTGACCTCTTACATCCATCTCCTGCAACATTACCCATGAACAAGTCACCTTTCACCTCCGCATTGTATTCGTTCTCCCACATTTCTACATTGTTGACCATTTAATTAATATCTTATATATGTACGAGAGAAACATAACTGGAAAATGCTCTTGGAACTTGTCACATGTCATAACTGCGTGAGAGACATCGGGGATGAGAAATGAGACCCTTTTGTTGTGTCCGAGAATCTAATTATGTTTTCCCTCTGGGCGTATTGAAACTGGTTTCTTTTCCACTCCTCTCCATAGTTGATATGGCTCTATATAGAACTAGTCCTTGCTATGATCTTATCAGTTTCTTTTCACACAGTTAACATGGAGAAGTGTAATGGGAACGGTTTCCAACTTGGAGTGAGGATTGGGAAGCTCGCTCTAGTTGCCCCAGCAGAGGAAACAGAGAAAGGCATATATTTCCTGTCTAATCTTGACCAGAATATTGCAGAGCTTGTCCGAACTGTTTATTTCTTCAAAATGGCAGAAAAAGGAAATAACAAGGCAGGGGAAGTTTTGAAGAATGCATTGAGCAAGGTTCATGTGCAGTATTACCCTCTTGCTGGGAGGCTGAACGTCAGTTCAGAGGGTAAACTCATGGTGGAGTGCACAGGGGAAGGTGCCATGTTTGTGGAAGCTGAAGCTAACTGTTCAATGGAAGAGATTAGCGGGATTACAAAGCCAGATCCTAGTTTCCTTGGGAGCTTGTTTATGACATTCCTGGAGTGAAACACATACTTCAGCCGCCTCTTTTGGTTGCCGAGGTATCTCTTACTCCTGCATTTTACTTCATTTGGACTCTTTAAATCGAGGAATTTACATACGAAGGCCTCTCCTTGGAATGTGCATGGACTACTGTAGAGTGACATGCAACGGAAGACTAGCTCATTTAGTTGTTTTTTTCCTTTTTAGTGCAAATTCTCTGTTGTGTATTAGTGAAGACCAGAATAGTAGTTGAAGAGATGGCCTCAACCTGAATTGGGAATTTGCAGTTTTGATGTTTTGAGTTTCAACTCTGCATTATAGGTGACTAAGTTAAAATGTGGTGGATTTGCTGTTGGGCTTTGCATGAATCACTGTATGTGCGATGGGATTGCTGCTATGGAGTTTGTGAACTCTTGGGGTGAAGCAGCTAGGGGCCTACCACTCTCTGTCCCACCATTCCTAGACAGCAGCATACTCAAGGCACGTGACCCACCTCAGATACAGTATCAGCACCTTGAATTTGCAGAAATTGAAGAGAAGTCTACCACCAATGGCTTGTATGAAGAAGACATGATCCACAGCTCCTTCTGTTTTGATCCTGAGAAGCTAAATTTATTGAAGATGAAGGCTATGCAAGATGGGGTTCTTGAATCTTGCACTGCTTTTGAAGCCCTCTCAGTGTTCGTTTGGATTGCTAGAACCAAAGCATTAAAAATGCTGCCAGAGCAGAAGACAAAGCTGCTTTTTGCAGTTGATGGGAGGCATAAATTTAAACCTCCTCTACCAAAAGGGTACTTTGGAAATGGGATTGTATTAACAAACTGTGTGTGTGAAGCAGGTGAACTATCAGAGACACCCTTCTCATTTGCCGTGAGGCGGATTCAGGATGCAATCAAGCTGGTTACAGACAGCTACATGAGATCAGCAATAGACTATTTTCAAGCGACAAGAGCTAAGCCATCTCTCGCTTGTACCCTTTTGATCACTACTTGGGCTAGGCTTTCCTTCCATACCACTGATTTTGTGTGGGGAGAGCCTGTTCTATCCGGGCCAGTTTCATTGCCTGAAAAAGAAGTGACCTTGTTCCCATCTCATGGGAAAGAAAGGAAGGACATCAATGTACTTCTAGGTTTATCAGCTCCTGCCATGAAGGTTTTCCAAGGATTGATGCAGATATAGGGCTTTGTTATGTTTTAAAGAAAAGAAGAGTACTTATTCTGCTTACCCATTATTCTGTTTACCTGCTCCTGACGCGAGGCTACATTTAGGTTCCATGTATAAGGTGAGACAAGTGATCAACTTTGAGTTAAGAAAATCTATTACCAGAAGAGAGGAATGTCCACTTTGACAGTAAAAGAAATATCCCACCAGCATCTTGAACTAAACTATGCTGGACTTCTAAGATGAAGTTGCTGATTTACAGATTTAGTGCCTATTTGAGTATTTTAAAGCATGAGTTCTACACGAGCCATTTTCTCCATTCATGCAAGATGCATTAGAATATTCGTTACTCTAGCGACAGTAGAAAATGGTGTTATCTTCTCCGGTATTTTAGATTGTTAGGATCAAAATGATCCATAAAAATTGTTCACCAAATTTTGAGACGAACTTTCACAAACATACATATATTTGTGTGTATGAACGTCACGTTCTAATGTTTCAATTTTCAACAATAGATGTAATACTTCTAAAAGGCTATATGAGATACCTTTTTTTTTTTTTCTTTTTTTGGTTTGCAAAAGGCTGTATGGAATATTAGTTGTGCCGTAAACAAGTAGCCATAAATACTCTGCTTAAAAGTGTGACAAGAAGTTACTATGGATTGCATCACTGTAATTTCATAGGAAATTGTTATTCATACATGTTATGATTCTAACGGGTCCAAAGGTTGTGTAATTGATGTTATAATAGTCACCTGTGTATCCTCTGTTGGAAAACTTTAAATAGCAGCCTTCTCCGTGGATCTGATAAAAGGACGCCAGGAGACAATAAGTGATCAAAACCTGCCAGTTTCGCTTTTGAATTACTCTGTAAAACTAGTTCAGCAATGGCAAGTGCCATCAGTCTGAATCTAGGATTGGCAAAGAACAAACTTGAATGTTGGAGGGGGGTGAAATGTTACAAAACCAGTGTCATTTATCTTACACATGTTACAATTGTAGTTATGGGCGGTCCAAATATTATGTGGTCTTTTTCAATTAAAAGTCATAAAAAATTTGCTCCTCATCAATTGTCAACTTGCAGTTGGATAATAATAATTGGTTGGATCACAGCATACTGCTTATTGGTGTTTGATAGAATCACGAGGAAAGACAACAATTGAAAAATTTCTCTCTCATCTGTAACCGCAACCTCCACCGAGAAACATAAGCCAGAGTTTATTACAAGTTACTTGTTCTTTACAGTTTCATGAGGGGGAAAGAGAGAGATATGTTATATACATCTGATGCATTTAAACAAGGACCTAAATCAACTTCCCTTTAATTTGCACACAAACTCCAGAGCCAAACAAGTAAACACTAATGCAGGAAAACAATCAAGACAGAAGAGGAGAGGAGAGAAGTGTATGCCCTTATGATGGGCTGAAAAGAAAGAAAAGAAAGACCAGCATATCTGAGTTTTAGGCTTCTTGGAAAGCGCATACAAGTCACCAAGTATGCCAGTACTCTGGCTACTTGTGCAAGCTGTTCCACAGTTTCAATTACCGCACAAAGTGATGTCCCTTTTAGTTGGTCTGAAATTCAAAGCATTTAGACTGTATATGCAGAGATTGGCTCGTCTTACTTTGATTGCTATCTCATCAGAAGTGGTTCTGTGTCCAGGAACATTGCATGCAGAGGTCGAACTACCAATTAGATTTGCCTGGCAGGAAGAAACTAGTTCAGAATCTTCTGCACATCTCACTCCATCCACTGATGGTATTTCCAGCTTGTACATCCCATACTTATTTGTTGTTCTATTCACAGAAACTGATATCTGTTCTTCAGTTTTCGCTGACAGAGCCTTAAAAACACAATCTATTCTGACTTCAGCACCTGCGGATAAAGAACCAAAAAAATGATTTAACATTGATCTATTTTTCTTCCAGCAAGTTAGAAAACTCAAGTTCTAGACCTAAAGGTTATATTTATATTACCAGGCAAGAAGTAGCTGTGTCTGGAGAAGCTGTTGTTGGAGCAGATATCGCAATAAACAAAGCCCATAACAGTGATTTCGGGGTTGGGATGCGCCAGCTTCCCCGGCAATTTGGGTTGGGGTCTTGCAGGCTCAACTTGCGAAAATTGTGTAAACAGCGATATAAGAAGAAAGAGAATCATAGGATTCATGACGGCGGGAGGTTTGGAAATAAGAGGGAAGCTTCCGAATGAACTATTTATGAGGAGCTGCAAAAAGCTAGCTTTGATTTCAGAGCATTAGCACAGTAAAAGATTAGTTTGGCGTGTGGATGATGATGATTGGCAAATTTTAGTGGAGAAGCAACCTCTACCAAAAAGTTGCAACTAGTGTATCCTTTTCCACTAGAAACAAAGACATGTGAATGTTGTTTGGCAAGACATGGAACTAATGAGTAGGAGAGAGAAGAGAAGAGAAGAGAAGAGAAGAGATAGAATAAGTAGATATACTCTTCGTGGGGGAGAGGCAAACAGCTTCAATTTAAGCGATTGATTGATATGGAAAGCCTGTTTATATAGAAATCCCAGTCAGTGCATCCCAAAAAAGAAGGGGGAAAAAAGCCTACAGCAAGTGTATCAGAAAGGGTATAGAGCTGTTGGGATCTTCTCTACTGTTGATGTGATTTTAATTGCAAAGTACTGATTACATATTTAGACTACGTAGTTTCATTAAGTCTCAAAGTTAACTTGTACTACTCAAAATATTCATTGAGTTCATTTCTCATCCGTGCTTCTGCCGCTGCATTGAAGAAATGCATGAGGCTGGTGAGAGCATTCATGTCATTCACATGCAGTTCAGAGCAGAGCCATTGCGATTGAGAACAGTCTCTGAACGAAGCATTAATTGGAAAATTTACTCAACCTCCATGCCCAACGTTGCTGCTTTCAAAAAGCCAACCAGTCCTGCAATCGAGGTTAACAGGACGTATAACAATATCGATATGAATCATAAAGAAGGCTCTTTTGAAGCCTCTCCACATTTCCAGGGTCACCATCTTTCTTATCACCATCAAGTCCTTTGGGCGAGCCAATTGCAGTAAATGACACAGCAAATGAATACCGGTTTGACTATTGGAACGAGCATGGGCCATGGACATTAATCATGAATTCATTACTATTCAATAAAAATATTTTGATTGCGTTGTATGAGTCCAAAAATTATTAGGATTACAATGTTGATTCTTTTTTCATTTTAGAAACAAGAAATGCGGGCTCCAAAGTAATGAAGCTGTGGAACTCGATAGCAGGTCTATCCAGAAAAGTCCAAAAAGGGACATTATCAAACGGAGAATAGGGACCAAATATGGATAATGTGGGAAAGTTTCGTCCTTTTGTGTGTGGTTCCCAGCCATTTTACTGGACCGCCATTAAAGATGAACAAGCCCCACTATAAATTGTCTTGCCAACTTCTGCACATAAGTGGAGCAGCCAATGGTTTTAACAGATTGGAGCAGTAGACAACTATAAATGACCCAGATTTTTCTAATTTTAATTTTAAGTGTAGCAATTCACGATGAAGTATCTTAGCCTCCATCCCATATTTCAAGCCAATGAAGTTAGGCTGAAAGTTTAGAACTTCGTAGATGAAAATATTAGACTGAGAATTTTGGATTTAGCATACCAAATGCTGTGATTGTTAAGAAAGAAGGCTTTGGTTTGAGAGAGGAGCAGGCTATTGTGGGGGAAAGCTAGTGGTACAGGCAAGTCAGATTAAGTAAATGAAGACATGCGTGGTTGATATGATTCTACAGAAAATACTTGACAGGAAAAGTACAAAAGAAAAGAATTTGATTAATGGACAAAGCAATAATACATGGGAGACAGAGAATATGTTTACAGGTATCCCTCCAGCGTAACAGAACAACAGCGAAGCTAAATAATTAAGTGACTGTTTGGTTAAGGAGTGAGAGATCAAATAAGCCTATTCGAATCCAAAGAAGTGATTGTGAAATATGTTTATCCTGTTTGGATAATTTGTATAAAATCTCAATAAATCATGATTTTACTATTTCACAGTATTTTTAGGATGAGTATCGAGAAGTAGCATATGTATTTAAAGAATCCCGATCAATTTTTATCAACTGAATTTTCTCTAATCTTTCCTCTCATGCTCTCCTCAAATGACTATATTTCATAATATTTATTAAATTCATGCCTCTTTGGTAATTATATATGCATAGGTGATTTTAATAAATAAAAACAAACATAATTACAATTCTCTAAGTCACTTATTAAAAAAAAATCTAAATAGAAATTATGATTAACTAATATTATTTATAACCAGTGTCATTTATAAAATTTATAATTATCTAATATCATAATTATTTACTGCTAATCCAAATGGGCACTAATTCTCTATAATCCATCGGGTTTTTACTGTGTGTTTTCTTTTGGGCGATAGATCCCACTCTAACGGTAACAACGAATGTTGGGGGTCAAAATCGACCACTGAACAAATTGTTGAGGCAATGTGTGAGTAGCTGAAGCAATATTATAATTAGAGCACTCGCAATAACTGTTACGAGTTTAAAGACGACAAATAGCAGCGGTCACAGCAAGAAAGGCCAAATTTCCAAACTTAAGTATGGGTTTTTCCATTATTGGCAAGGAAGATTTTCAAAATTTTATACTCAACTTGTGTTACTTCAAATATTTTGTCACCGACAACATTACTATTGCCAGTTTGAATGTTTGTTTTTCGAAAAAACAATTGTTGCCCCATATATACTTGCGAGTGCATCGTGCGTGTGCGTGTGTATGCATTATAATTAAATTAAACATTCTATTTGATTCTTTTTATAAGCTGTAATTAATAGCTTTATGTAGATTAAAAAAGTTAGTTAAAATTAATTAATTATTTCTTGTAAAATCTCAAAATCAGTCTCAATAAAGGTAATTAATGAATGGAATGTAGTTAGTTAGTTAAGAAATTTTATAGTTAAGCAAATGCAGAAGTAGTACTTATAATAAGAATGCGAGGGAGTAGAATCGTGGTTACTGTTAGATTAAATATGGGTAACAAGATATGATAATGATGGGTCGCGTTCTTCACTTTAAGCAGCCTAACTTTCATGGTTTACGTGTGTGTGTGTGTGTGTGGGGTTGTAAACTTGCTGCCGCGCTGCAATTAGTTTACAAGAACGGAAGGCAACCCCCCAAAAAGGGGGAGCAAGGAGCAAAATTAACGTGGAAACTAAACTCAGAACAGCGTAACATTATATACTCCTCTGGTCGTTAATATAAAACTCAATTGTTGAATTAGTTTTGGTTTTAAATATAAGACCTATTTATTATATTTATCAATTTTTTTTAAGTTACCCCTATGGATATTCCCTCAACTATAATTAAATAGAAGAGGAAGATGAGGTATTAAAAAAGATGATTATGATATTTTAGAAAAAACGTGTCACATTTTTTATAATTAACTAACTTACCTAACTTTCTTAATCTAATCAAATTAGTTAAATAGATATTATATTAAGGAGTGGAGGAGTATAAAATAATCACACGCGCATGTCCAAATGTCTGGAAATGAATGAATTGCTATTACATAATGTTACAAGGAAGAACGGTGTTGTATTATAACAAAGCACAAACACTCATTATCGATCATCATTTAATAATTTCCATTATCAATGAATTTATTTGCACATAATATTATTATTAAAGATCAATGGAGCTCCGCTACTTTCTGGACGGTGGCCTCCAAGACAGATGACACCCAGCTGAATCCAAGAACCAACAAGGTCATTTCCCTAAAATAACAGAAATATTATGCTGTTGAAGAATAAAGAAAGGACAAAAACTAAGCAATTATTAATAGTGGCACCTGGTAGAGCGAGATGAAGCTGAAGACGATGGAGATGAAGAAGGAGGCGCAGCAAATGTGATAGTTTCACAGTCAAAGAGCGTAACCGCGTCGTCTTTCACACACAGACGAATCTCTGCCACAGCTTTACCGCCAGAGGTAAGGCTCAGTAAGGGAACAGCACCGGTGGCTTCCTCGACGGCGTTAAGTACGTCCAACATCCGATATTCAGCTCCATCTGGTTTCACCCCTAAATTAACAATATGTACATCAAGTCATCGGCTCACTGTACTATCAATCGCCACAACACACACACACACACACACACACACATTACGTCTCTTTTCTAGAGCCTGAGAGATTTTGTCTGAGTACTTTCTGGCAAGATCAATTCTTCTTTGGAAGTACTGCAATGCGGTGAACTTGTTTGAAGAACAGGTTCCGTGCTTATTCCACTCCTACCTCCAAAAGTTCTTGCTGCTTTCAAAGTCTTCTGCATTCTTTAGATCAGGCCAGTATCTGAGCAGATCGTACTCATCCTTTAAAAGTTCAAGCTGCATCATGCAAATCAAAAGCCAGAAATTAATAAAAGGAGAAAACATACCCACACACGTGAACACATAGTGAATGAATAGTGATGATATATGTATATATATTACGATATCGTCAGTGAGCTTTTGGGTTGTTGTGCAGTGCTGTGGATATTTGGTAGCATTAAACTGGGGCCAAAGTCCATGGATGGTGAAATATTGCTTGGGGAAGGAGGGATCGCAGGTTTTGGAGAGGCAAAACTGGTTAGGCCATGTCAAGCCAAGCAAGAAATAGTTAAAGCCTGGTTGGACTGATGCTCGCAATGTCTCTGCTGCGTCTGTGTCGCCCCAACACGACCCAAATGCCACACTTATTATCAAAACCACAAACACCAACTCTGTCATCACTTTCATTTGCTGATAATTCCTAATCATCAAATCTCAATGACCCAACTCTAGAAGTTGATGGCCTTTTATAATGCCTGGGGCCAACATTTTCGTTGTCCTGTTGTTGAGGCCCAACGCGTATGGCGAAAGAATTGAGATATTATTTGAAGGCCTCGCGTGATTCTTCTTTTTTTTTTTTTTAATATTCCCTCCCCTATTTTTTATAGGGAGACAAATTGAACCTCTTATAGTTACTTATTAAAACTAGAAGTTGGACAGCTTATTTAGGTTAAGATCTGAATTATCTGTTCGCCATGTGATGTTTTATTTTTCTGCTCAAAAACAAAAACTGAAGGCCCATGCATCGAGTATTATGTGTAATCAAAGATTTATATCATATACACCCACGTTTCCTTTACACTAATATACTTCCTCCGGTCCTAATTATAAGACCCCGTTGACTAATTTGAGGAGATTAAGAAAAGAAGTTAAGTTAGTTATTTGTAATAAATAGGTATTTCCTTTCCTAAAATATCCTTACTAATCAACTATATTGGCTAGGACTACAATTATTAGAAGGATTATCTTGGAAAAAGATGCATAAATATGAGAGACAAAATAGATTGGGATCTTACATTTATGACCAAAATAAAAGCCAAACAAGATCTTATATTAAGGACCGGAGGTAGTATTACAGAGTCGGCCATGGGGGTCAAAATGTGTCTGCCTAGATCAGCATCTCAAAAATTTCCGATAGGATATTGTTTATAATCATGAAACATGATCGGCTGATGATTATTCGCTCAAATCAAAGCAAAGGAAGAAATGGAGAGTACATTATTTTTAGCCAATCGTCATTTTTTTTTCCTTAAAACAAGAAGTTCATGATTCAATGTAACATCGTAGACTTGTTAATGTTTCAAATCTTGTCTACATCTCATATATTTATCAGAGATTTAACTTGATGATAAACTAATAGTAACGCAAACTTTGATATCCATGCATCTAATACTTTGTTAAGAGATGTGATTTTATTAATCTAATAATTGAATTAAAAAAATTGGCATGGACATGTTTAGTTCGTCAATAGAAAATTTAAGAGAAAATAAAAAAAATTATGTTTTTATATGGACAAAGTTTTATTTCCATTATGTAAGTTTTATTTCCATTATGTATTGTGTTAAATAGGACTTGTTAATATCAAAAAACCATGAACATAAAAACAAATAATGATTTTTTTAAAATTTAAGATCTTTATCACACGTTAATTTTTAGATTAAGTAATGGAATAAAAAGAAAATGATCTAAATATCAAACTTATGACGAACTTAGGTTTTTTTTTTTTTGGTTTTGTAAAAATCAATAATCCAATGGCGCTCATAAATAAGGATACTTTTAGAAGAGAAAATAAATTTCATAAACTTTGTTGTGAGTCAACTATATTCTTGAAAACTTGTAATACCCAATTCATTTCAAAACGAGTCAGGTATGATATTATGATATCCAAATATATTCAATTAATTATATTTGAATAATATTTTGATTGGGATTTGGGTATATTGAATAAAATGGGGAGTGTAGTTATTAAATGAGATTTCAATTGGAGGCTCAAACGAAGAAATTAATAATTAATTTTGAATTTGAATAATATCTTAATTAGAATTTAAATATATTGAATTAAATGAGAAGCATCATTATTAAATAGTATATCAATTGAGGACTCAAATAGATAAATAAATAATTAATTTTGAATTTTTACATGTTCACCTTAAATTCCTCACCTTTAATCCAAATCTCATTTAAATGAATTTAAAAAAAAATCATATTCCGATAGAAATGATATTGAGCTACCTTAGATAATATAATTTATTAAAATTTAAAATCTAATTAAATATTCTAGTCCAGGCATCACACGGGGAGAAAAATTTTTAGTTTATTTCTTATGGATTGTCGTTAGATTAAATATGTGTAACAAAGTATGATAATGATCAGCGGCTCTCTTGCTCGAAGCAGCCAACTTTCATGGTTTTATACTTGTAACCTTGGTACAGTATATCTTACTGTAATTAATTGAGTCGCAAAAAGAATAAAAGTCAAAACGCCCGAGGAAAAAAATTGACGATGCCACTTTGAAACAACATCACAAAAGCACACAAATTAGATAATGTACCAGTGTACGTTTGGAAATGAAATGCTATTGCATTTATTGATATTGTAATACAGCACATGATTGAGGGTAAAGTTAGAAGGAGGAGAGGTAGGGACCACGGACGATGTTGTATTATACCAGAACACAAACCCTTATTGTCATTTCATTTCCCTTTATTCATTAACTTTTATTTATTATTAATGATGACATGGCACCATTGCAGGAGCGCTGCTGCTCTGTGGAGGGTCTACTGCTCCAAGGCATGAGACACCCACCTGAATCCAAGAAAGAATATACATATCATCATCATCAACAAGGTGGTCATTTCATTAAAATATATAACAGAACTATATGAGATGACATGCATGTTACTGTATATAATTAAATAAGGAAGTAAGGGGGAATATTATTGTGATACCTGGTAGCTACAGAGCGAGGCTGGGGGGGAGGTGAAACACGAGGAGGACCAGCAAATGTGATAAAGTCAACATCGTCGCAATTAAAGAGTGTAACGGCGTCGTCTTTCACACACAGAAGAATCTCAGCCAGAGATTTAGTGCGAGAATCGGTGAGGCTTAGTGAGGGAACAGAACCGGTAGCTTCTACGACGGCGCGAAGTATGTCCAACTTCAGATATTTACCTCCATTTGCTTTCACACCTATATATAAATGAACAACCTCCATCAAGTCAAGTCACTCTCTACCAATCATCATCCTCATATTCAATTATTTACCCACAGAGAAAAACACACATATTGCCTTTCTTTTTCAGGGCCTGGGAGATTTTGTCCGAGTACGCTTTGGCCAGATCAATACTTCTTTGGAAATACTGTGATGCGTTGAACTTGTTTGCAGAACAGGTTCCGTGCTTTGTCCACTGGTATTGCCAAAACCGCTTGCTTTTTCCAAAGTCGTTTGCGTTGTTTAGATCAGGCCAGTATGTGAGCAGCTCGTAATTATCCCTCAACTCTTCAAGCTGCATCACCGTGCAAATATCAAAGGCCACAAAAGAATAGGAAGTTAGTTAATAAAAGGAAAACACACACTCTCACGCACAGAGACGTATGAATAATAACAAAAGCAGGCAGGAATATGTATATTAATTACGGTTTCGTCGGTGAGCACTTCTTTTGTTTTGCAGTTCACTGCACCATCTTTGGCCTGGGGCCAAAGTCCATGGATGGTGAAATCTTGGGTGGGGATGGGGGGGTTGCAGCGTGTGGTGCTGCAATATTGGTTAGGCCATTGCAAGGCAAGCAAGAAATACTTAAAGCCTGGCTGACGTTTTGGTGGTGCTCGCAATAATAATGCCTCTGATGATGGGTTCGTGTCGCCCAAACACGCCACAAATGATGATAAGCATATCACAACCACAAACACCAACTCTTTCATCTCCATCTTATATAATTCCTAATCAATGATCAATCGCAATGACTCAACTCAATCAGTTACTGGCGTTTTATAATACCTGCCGTGAACATTGTCGTTGTTCTACGCCGGCCACGCGCACATGGCGAGAGATCTCTCGTATCCAAACTATTGTCTTCATATGTTAGAGATTTTTCCATATGGCTAGATTCTGCTTGCATGGGGGATGAACTGGATTATTCTCTTCATATTGTAACGTGAAACACGTCACCACGTCAAACATGTACCATACCACTTTATTTCTTTCCGATGTATTCTGTCTATCTACTAAATACTCCTCTAATCCTAGTTATTTGGTAGAGAGAGAGAAAACTTTTTTGATCTATTTATAAGACACTGAGAACTTTTTTATATGGATGTATAATTTTATTTATTATTTATTATCGTGTTGACTTTGTTTACATGAGGTATCATATATTTCTATGTTTTTTTCCTCAAAATTTTACGTGCATTATACGTATTATACTCCTCCGGTCTATAAGATCTATTTTGTATTGTAAATTACACTACAAAGTAGGTTTTATATTTACGATTAGAGGAATATATGTAGATTTATACTACTTCTGGTCCTAATTAAAAAGCTAGTTGACTAATTTAAGAGTTAAAGAAAATAAGTTAAGTTAGTTATTTGTAATAAATAAGTATTGTCTTTCCTAAAATATTCTTGCTAATCAAGTATATTATATTGGTTAGAACTACTATTATTAGAAGGATTATCTTGGAAAAACAAATAGATATGAGAGACAAAGTGGATTAAGATCTTATATTTAGGATCAAAATAGAAGTCAAATGAGGTATTATATTAAGGACTAGAGGTAGTATCATATATTTCCACGTTTTTTCCCAAATTCTTGCGTGCGTTGTGCGTATTATATATGTTAATTTATATCATGTATTACCACGTTTTTTTTGGGTCAAATTCTTGCGTGCATTATACGTATTATATATAGATTTTTTTTCAGAATAAATAAATAAATACTACCCCCAATCCTTAATATAAAGCAGTGGCCCCTCCCATCCAGAAATCTGTTCATAAACAAGAGGTGAATACATAAGATCTCACCCCGTGGAAGAACCTCACACGCAGATTCCTAGGCCCAATATTTCTCCTTGCCTTTGTCTTCCCAATGCCTACTGTCCTTATGGGAAGTAGAGAACTAAGAGGGCAGGGAAGATAGAGTGGCCAGTTCTCTGTAACATGTGGGATTGACCAAGCTGAAAGAGAAAACATATCTTGTTTATCCATCCCCCCCCCCCGGGGGGGTGGGGGCGCTTGATAAAATATGGAGAGTCTAAATCATCATTGTTATTGTGTATGGACTGAACGATAGATGTTTGGAAGCTAATTCTAACTCTCCAGGCAAATACTCTCTCTTCTCTTATTATCAAGAGATGAACACGCCTGAATTCCTATGTCACCATTGTCGCATTTATCCATATATGTATGTTGATCTTGTACGTGTTTTAAACATTGGCCTTCTAGGATTAAATAAGAATCAGTGGGACCACAAGAATCGTACTTTCAAATTAGACATTCAATTAGGCGGTGCATTAGAATCTTTCAAGAGTCCAGAATGTCTTTATTTTGGAATTCTCAGAGCAAGATGGAGTTTCTAATTTCAAATTTTGCATGGAGAAAGTTTAACATGGCCAATTCACCCTTCTTCCCTATTTCAGCATAGCCTAGGCAACAGGCAGCTGCTTGAACTTGTTGATGAAACAAATATTGATTGGGGCATCAGGAGTCTATGAGCACTATATTCTTCTCTGTCAATACCAAATGATGCATTCGAAAGAAAATTAAGACACATATGACTATGTCAAGTCCATTTACTACAGATATGAAAATTAGGAACGTGGTGGCAGCATCTTCAAGAAGTATAAGAAACATTCACAAGCTTTGTGAAGAGACCTTGGTAAGAGAACGAGCTTCTAAAAGCTGGTCATGGTAAGGGCAACGGTGAAAAGGATAGAGAGAAGAACAGAATCTAATATGGTAATCAATGCATCTTATATAGCTATGGCTTCATACGCAACTGGTTGGAACTAAAACCTCATTCCCTGCCCTCGTACGCTGAAATAATTCCAGAAGACAACTTGGTATCTCAATGTCCAACTTCAGAGGTACGATTATGTAGCATTTTCAGTATCAGCAAACAATTTTGGTCATCTGATTCCCACAAGTTGACACGGCCGTCTTGACTGATGAAGCATATGAGAAACTATTAAGTTGAGGTTTGCGGAGAAACGCCCGTGGAGGCGTTCGAAATCAATAACGGATATTAGTGGCGGAACAAAAAATGAAAAAAAAAAGGGGGTTGCAAACAAGGAGCTTAATAACAACATTGGTATGAATCATAAAGAAGGCTCTTTTGAAGCCTCTCTACATTTCCAGGGTTATCATCTTTCTTATCACCATCAAGTCCTTTGGGCGAGCCAAATGCGGTAAATGACACAGCAAATGAATACCGGTTTAACAATTGGAACAAGCATGGGCCATGGACGTTAATCATGAATCCATCACCATTTTAATAATAATATTTTGATTGCATTGTATGTGTCCAAAAATTATTAGGATTACAATGTTGATTCTTTTTTCATTTTAGAAACAAGAAATGCATGCTCTAAATTAATGAAGCTGTGGGACTCAATAGCAGGTCTATCCAGAAAAGCCCAAAAAGGGACATTATCAAACAGAGAATAGGGACCAAATATGGATAAGGTGGGAAAGTTTCGTCCTTTTGTGTGTGGCTCCCAGCCATTTTACAGGACCGCCACTGAAGATGAAGAAGCCCCACTATCAATTGTCTAGCCAACTTCAGCACGTAAGTGGAGCAGCCAATGGTTTAACAGCTTGGAGCAGCAGACAACTATAAATGATCCAAATTTTCCTAATTTTGATGTCCTTTTGTGTGTGGCTCCCAGCCATTTTACAGGACCGCCATTGAAGATGAACAAGCCCCACTATAAATTGTCTAGCCAACTTCTGCACATAAGTGGAGCAGCCAATGGTTTAACAGCTTGGAGCAGACAACTATAAATGGCCCAAATTTTACTAATTTTGATTTAAAGTGTAGCGATTTACAATGAAGTATCTTAGCCTTCATGCCATATTTCAAGTCAGTGAAGCTAGGCTCAAAGTTTAGAACTTTGTAGATGAAAAAATTAGGCTGGGAATTTTAGGTTTAGCGTCCCAAATGCTACAAGTGTGAAGAAAGAAGGCTTTGGTTTGAGACAGGGGCAGGTTACTTTTGGGGGAAGCTAGTTGCACAGGCAACTCTGACACGGTTGATATGATTCAAAAGAAAATACCTGAAAGGAAAAGTGCAAAAGAAAAGAATTTGATTAATGGACAAAGCAATAATACATGGGAGACAGAGAATATGTTTACAGGAATCACTCTCTGGAACAGAACAACAGCGAAGCTAAACAACTAATTCTCTATAATCCTTTTTTTTTCTGGGTGATAGATTCCACTCTAACGGTAACAACGAATGTTAATGGTCAAAATCTACCATTCAACAAATTGTTGAGGCAATGTGTGAGTAGCAGAAGCAATATTATAGTTAGAGCACTCGTAATAACTGTTACCAGTTTAAAGACTACGAATAGCAGCGGTTAAAGAAAGGCCAAATTTCCAAACTTAAGCATGATTTTTTTTTTTTAGGGAAAATTTTCAAAATTTGATACCCTACTTGTGTTACTCTAATGCTTTGTTTGGATTGAGAAAAAAATAAGAGAAGAAGGAAAGGTGGAGTAGAAAATGAGAGAAGAATGGAGTTTTTCCCTGCTTAGATGAAAAAGAGAGAGAGAGAGGAAGGAAAAATGGAAGAAAAAATATAGTGGGCTCCATATCTTATTTTCATCTCAAAATTTCTCTCCACAAATAGAGAGATTTTCACCCAAAACAATTCATTCCCCTCACTGTCCTCTAACGCCAAGCCCCCATCAGTCCTTAGCCTTTCCCGCGCCAAACCAGACTTTCGTTGCTCCAGGGAAAGCTGAGCGCATAAGCCATTAAAAAACTCAACTTCACAACTCAACTCCCTA